TGTAATAAAACTCGAATTAGCGAAATAAACGAGACATAAGTAACGATATAGAGTAGTAGAGGTAGAGGTTAAAACCCAGCATGAAAATCCCCTTAAATGAAATGTTTTTGAATTTATGTAACAGGCTAGAAATCTGCTTTTATCTGTTTCGATATCTACGATTTCGGTTTGATTTTTATGCTTTCAAAGGCTTATAAGATGTTTTGCAGGATTTTGAATGATAAGTCTGTTAAGTGTTCATTCCACTTCTTGTCCTCACTTGTATACAAATGATAAGTTAAGGTATTAATTTTCTGTTGATGCTGATAAAGTTTTCTCACACAGAAATGATGGTTCTGTTTAGTTTTGTTCAGCTTAGTGATATAGAACGCGATGGTTGTGTCGTCTGAAGAGAATGTAAACTAATAGTAGTAGCTCTAATTCATATGAAAATCAACCACGGAGAAGCCGATCGAAAAAGATGTCTTTGTTAACCATGGTAGATGTCTTTTATCTTCTTAGCCTCAATTATCAGTCTAACATTGGCACAAATAGATTGAAAAATTGCAAAAAAAATAGCTGTTTTCACACTTTAGGATTGCAAATTGTGGTGCATACGGATTCTGGTAGTTAATGGGGCCGAAAATATATTGGCTGTGAGCTAATGCCTGAAGAATCTCTTTGCAACTCGGAGTGCACTTCGGATTTTGAGTATCTACAATTGTTCACTTAGGTGAGATATAGTGCCAACTTGGTATTGCTTTTGGATCTCCAAAAGTCCTTTTTTTGCATGTTACGTGATATAAGTAGCGTGTTAAGTAAAAGTATCCAAAAGTACTTTGCACCGACACCAATGCACTTTTACAGTTATTTGGTGAAGTTGGAATTTGAAACTTTTAGGTCCCGTTTATTTTACCGATTCGAGTTTTACTACAGTAAAAAGCTCTCAGAAACAGTCACATTTAACTTTTTTGCTACAGTAAAAAGCTCTCACATAAAATCACATCTCAATTCGAATTAAAAACTCGAATCAGCGAACTAAACGGACCCTAAACTTTCTGCTCCTACTTCTCCTTTCGCTATAAGTAAAAGTCAAACTTCTTTTGGAAGTGCAACAATCCCAGAATAAGCCCTAGGTTAAGCATTACGTGTCATTGGTATTGCGGGGTTTCCTTCATATAATGCTACAAGTCCACTAAAAAATTTGCTTTTCTGGCCTCTTGCAAGAGTTTCTTGAAGTAGCTTCTGGCCCTGGTTTATTATGTGGATCGCTTTACTTTATGCAGCTGAGATAGCTTGGCATGAGATGAGAAGAGAATGGTTCATAAACCGCAACGAGCCCCTAGAGAACCAATAATGAGGTAAAATTTTCTGTTCCTAGTTTCTTCGAATTTTACTGGTGTTGAATTAATGGTCAAATACTAGCTATGCATATCAGATCTGTCATTTACATCTTTAAGTAATATGCTTCAGCTATTATTTAGTTATGTCGTTTATACATTCTTACAAACTTTATCTAGGATGACAAAAATGTACCTTGTCGAAATTTGTTCTCATTTCTTGGGTTCCATTCACTATCTTTTCGCTTAGCAGTTGTCTTAAATCGGGTCCAAAGAAAAGAAAATGAATGTTTTGGTGCAAATTTCGGGAGAAACTTTATCATTCACATTTAGGGTGGGTTTTTTGAAGTAAAATACATCCACGAAAATTGTGTCGAAACTTTCTACCCCTGGTTCAAAGGAAAGTGATTGTGGAATCTTCTTTTTTTTTTTTTTTTTTCAGCTGGACCACGACTTATGAGGATCTGCTTTTATCCAATGAACCTTTTCAGCAGCCAATACCATTAGCTGTAGGTTTCTCTCGCACTCTTTGTTCTTCTTTCGTTTAGGTTTATCGATAGTGTTCAACATTTCTTGTTGAAATTCTGCAGAAGATGGTTGGTTTTATGGTTGACATATGGCATGAGGAAGGCCTCTATGACTAGATGATGATTTCTTGTCTACAATGATGCATACAATTGAATTTCACACAGTTTTATTTATGCAGAGATTAATTGCAAGGCAAGTCCCACATGGGTTACAAACTTTTCGCCCCTGATTTGATTGACTGAAAATATAGAAAAAGTTGGTTCTGTTGTTGTCAATGAATTGCTTAAAAACAAACTCATGGCATGGCAAAGCCCGAGCACAATTTGGATTAAGTGTAAAGAATTACTAATCTTGTGTCATAGTTGAGGTGCAGAGCTTAAAAATTTTGTGCATCTAACTAATCACTTATTGAGAAGGAACTTGATGATGCGTATTTTTTTCTCTTCATCATTGCATGTTAGCCAATTTTTTTTCCTGCTTTTGTGAATTGTGACCCTTGTTTCTAGATGCAATTGTTGACTTGATGACCAACGGGTCAACTACCAAACTTGCATTTTGTAGTCTAGTGAGAGGGAGTGTAGAGTAGTGATCATGAGTTCACTAATTTGAGTTGAGATGTGATTTTATGTGAGAGCTTTTTACTGTAGTAAAAAAATTAGATGTGATTGTTTGTAAGAGCTTTTTACTGTAACAAAACTCGAATCGGTGAAATAAACGGGGCCATAGTCAATGACCACTAGCTCAAATGGCATAGTTTAAGATAGGGTAGGGCTTGGGTTTGAGATGACGCTCGTTCTTGTCGGAAAAAAAACATCAACGGATATGGTTTCTACTTTCTAACTTCTAAGAGGGTAATATTTGGTTTGTCCCGCAGGTTCAAACCATAAATTAAAACCTATTGTTACAATGTTTTTTTGGACGAACATTTAACTTTCTGGTTCAAACCAAAGAGGCACTTAGTTTTCAATGCAATATTCTTTGTTTTGTTTTGTTTCTTTTTTACTGTGGGTGTACTACATGATCATTTTCTATCAATGTAAAGCTTCAACTAATATTCTATGTATATTATGCACCAATATTCTTTTTTACATAATACATAACACATTAACTGTGAGACCCACATATAATATTAGATAAAGATTTACACAGTTTTACGCAATAATAATAGTGTTAATTGGTTATAATCTTTATTAGTGACATTTAGCATTTATCTTTTTCTTCTGAAAAGTGTTTAATATATGGGAGAATATTACTAATTTAGACACTCGTTATTCTGAGTTTGTCGTTTGCCTCATTATTGATTTCAAAGCACCCGCAACACACTCGAAATTTTCTTTATTTTCAAGCTTGTAAAACAGCACTCAAAAGAGTAGAAACAAGTGTGTTGACCTAACCATAGGTGGAGTCACTTGAAGATAAGCGGGGGCAGCCGCCCTCATTCAAATTTTTTTGAAAAAAATATTACCTTTAAAAATTTTTAAAATTTTACATTTAAACCCCTATTAAAATAATATGTGCCCCCACTAAAATAAATATATTTTTTTATATGCTCGCACTAAGATAATTTGTTAAAAAAAATTTTAGTGTATGCTCTTATTGAAATGAAAGGCTGGTTCCGCCACTAGACCTAACCGTAAAGTATTAACATGACTTGATATGTAGTAAAGGTTCGAATGCTGCTAGGCCGTTAGCACATTCAGTAATCAATAGCGGTAACGCGCTCCTCGTTGAGGGGAGGGCTCGCGGTTAGTCAATTGGGCCTTCAGCGAATATTTCGGTCAGCGTCTCAACTCCGCAGGTACAAACTATATTGTCTTCAACCAAAAAACTTTCCCCGCGTGAGCAGGTCCTGCACGTCGCGGAAGTCACTGCCTTTGCCTTATCAAAAAAGTCATTGCCTTTTGTTTAGTTTTGCTTCTTTTCCTCATCATTTACCACATTTTAAATGGAAATTGCCAGGCTTACGGAGATTGAAAAATAAGCTGAGGAGTAAGGCTTACTATTAAATGGTATAAATTGGAAGTATTTCCCAAATAAGTATGACAACAGATAGTCACTATGGCGTCTCTTTCAATCAATAAGAAAATAGACAAGAAGATGAATAAATCTTTGAGAGGGAAAAAATGAATGAATGAATGACTGAATTGAACATAAAAGTTGATTACTGCACGTATATATTATTATAGATTGGAAAAATTAAGCTTTTGTAGCCTGGGGAAATTAGGTTTTAAGCCAGACGACATCTGGAAGCTTGGCAAAATTGATGTTGCGTGATCCGTTCCTTTTAATGATTTTCTGCACCATTATTTTCTTAATTTTGCCTTTGTTTGACAAGTCACATTTTGAGAGAAAAATCTTGGCAGTTAACTCTTTGAATTTGAATTTCTTATCAAATCTTCCCAGATTGCTAACACTATCAGTTTTTCGACCTGAATGTTCATGAGGATTAGTTTTTTAACGATTAGATCTGTACATGTTAGTATTAAAAATTTACGGCGTGTGAAAAATGCTCCTACTCTAGATTAGGCTATGGAAAAACAAATAGAACAATATGTATGTCCTATCATATTTGTACCATTTTTTAAAAAGTATCATTTTGGTATCTAGGATTGATAATTTGTGTTACGACATGATAACACGATACGAAGCCCACACAAAATTAAAAGGTTTAGATTTTCTTTAAATAGGTCTAGGAAGAAACGGGTTGAACCTGCCAGACATGATTAAAAAAAGGATCAACACGACACGAACTCTCTAATACGAAATTAACTCGTTTAATAAACGTGTCATAAATAGATTGATACAAACACGACACATTGTTAACCCATTTAATACCTGTATTATTTAAATATGTACAAATATTTTTCACTCCGCCACTGCTTCTTCTCAGTTCCTCTCTCTTTCTAAGCTTTTCTATTTCTCTCCGAAATCAAATTCAAACCCACCCTCGCTTTCACTCTCTCTTTTTCTCTCTACCTCACTTATATCTCTCTCTGTGTTGCTCTCTCTTTTACTCAGTCTGATCTTCCTTTTTCCCTCTGCATTTTACTCTCTTTCTTGCACTCAAATTAATATACTCCTATGAGTTCTTACTGACGCGCACAAGATCTTCTTCTCGGCGCCACCTTCTTCTCATCGGCGACTCAGCGCTTGCTTGTTCTCAAAGTGAGGTACTGACTTCATTCGATCAGTGGGTTAGTTTTCACATTTTCATTTTTTTTTTTTTATATGTGGGCTATTTTTTTATTTGTTTTTCTATGATTTTGGAATCTTGTTAACTCTCTTTGAAACTTTTGATGTTCATCATCATCATCAGCTTCCGTTTTTCCAGTTTTCTATTTTCGGAAACCAAGCCTCTATGTATTTGTGACAAGGTAAAGCTCTCTTTCTCTCCTTTTCTTATTCTCCGTTTTTCTGATGTTAATTGCAGTGTTAATCTCCATTGAATGTATGCGTTCCTTTTTTGTTCCCCTAAATCGTTTCTTGGTTCTATATGAATATACAAATGCATTACAGAGAAAAATATCGTCGTGTGTATGTTAATTACAGTCTATAGCTCCATATTCTGTGCTTTTCTTTTTTCTTTTTATCTAATTCGTTATGTGTTGTTCTTGATCTGATATACTGATTTGTGATTTTTGAGGTTTTTTAGTTTGTGAAAGTTAGGAGATCTTAGTTCTGTGTTTTGAAAGCTACGGTTTTGAGCAGTAACATTTTCATTTGTTTTTTGTTCAATCTAAGGTTTGGTTTAGTTTCTAATTTGTTTTTCGTTGAATTTTGATGATTTAATACAAGATTTATCCTACGAGACTTTGAATATTGTACTCTATGATATGTGCCTTTGAATATTTAATCTTTTTTGTTTCAATTTGTGAGTGTGGACTCGTGTTTAGTTTTTGGTCTTTCTGGGAATATGAACACATGATTTATGGTCTTGATTCAAGGAAATGTGTTTTTGTATTTTGTAGATTTTAAGGAAGTGGTGGATGATCTCACAGGACATCTTCAAATTTAGCTCGAAGAATGAGGATCCTATCTCTCAAGTATCAAACTTCAGTGTAGCTGAATTTGTTATACCAGTTGCTCATGGATTTTTTTTTTTTTTTTTTTTTTTTGAATAAGGATTTTTATCTTTTGAATGATCAGTCAAATAATCATTTTGGATTTGACTTTTGAATAATACAAATTTACTGTTTTGTTGAGTTTTGGTGTTAATACTGGTTACTTATGCTATGAATTTTGGACTTGGCTTGGCTTTATGTTTGTGGACTGTTGAACAAACTTTTATTTCAGAGATTGCATTTGTATATTATGTTAGTTTGTTTGATCTTAAGCTACTGCTATGTAGTTAGGGTAATCATTTGAATGCTTTTCAATATTTTTTTAGCCTTGCAAATTGATTTAAGCAGGTTGAAACCTATCATAAACAGGTTGACATGCTCTTTTTATTACCCATTTAATAGGCAAGTTAGCGGATTCTAACGGGTTAACAATATACTATTATGTCTCATTTAATAAACAGGTTAATTTAGTCGTGTCGTGTCAACTTGCTTATACACAGGTCGTGTTGGGGTTTTATATTGACACAAGTAATAAATGGGTCGTGTTTGTTTCAAGACTCATAGTGTCATCTGAGGGGGTCAACACAACACATACATGACACGGCAACACGAATTGCCACCCTATTGGCATTTACATATGTGAGTTGAGATTTGGCTTGTAGATATGGGTGGCAATTCGTGTTAATGGATCGTATTCATATTAAACCGTTATTAAGAGAAAATTAGTAAACTCACTTTTTAAATGTATTATTCTAAGATTTTTACTTTTTATTCTTGATTAATATCTTTTTTACTAATATAGTTTTTTGATGAATGGAAGTCTAAGAGATAAAAATTCAAGACTCATGTATTTTAAGGGGTATGTATTTTCTTTTTTCGTTATTAATCATATTAGAAAATAGTAATCCAAACACGATCCATTTATTAAATGTGTCAAAAATATTAATCCAAATACGCCCATTTATTTATTGTGTTAATTGTGTCAACCTACATAACTCGTTTTAGATTAATATATTGAATAAATAAATTATGCAATTATAATTTATTTAACATGATGACGACAAGTTTAATAGTTTTATTAATCTATTTATCTTTTCTAAAGAAAGAAAAAAAAACAAGTAAAGATTGTCTATAACATTCATGTTTTGTATTCAATGCAAAATTTTTTTATATAATAAATTTACAAAATAACACGTTTAGCTAATCATCTCAATTTGGGTTATTTTGTATTAAATGATCAATTCTAATTCAACTCATTTATTTATCTTATTAATCTTATCAACTTGATTATAATCTAACACTATTAATAATAAATCCAAACATACTGGTGTTTGGTATGAGGATTCGTGTCATGATTCAAATCATGATTCGTGACTCATTATCGTATTTTTTCTCATAAAAAATACATATAAACTAAAAATAATTTTAAATTATAATTCTGAATTCGTAAACTAAACGTTTAGTCGGCTAAGTTTTGAGTTGCATCTTCTGCCGGAATTGACATCCTAATATGGATGATGATAGTCCATGGAGTTGGAGTAGAATTGTCAACCCCCTCATAATAGTACGGGGTTCATAGGTGTTAGTTCCGTTCAAAACATTTGACCATTTTGCAATTTTGAGCTGATTTTGGCAATAAATTTGAATACAAAAACTTTTAGGAAGCAAATAGACAACGTAAATTATTGATAACGTTGTGCAAATTGCTCTATTTTTATTGTCATCTTGCGTATTAACTATTAAGGTAAACTAATCATTACTTGTTGAGAACGTTCGGAAGAATTTACTTCTACTTCTCTTTTGAACGGGGTTTTTTTTTTTTTTTTGAACTTTCTTCTATAAAATTAAAAAAATAAAATTATTAATAGTTTTTTTTTAATCATTTTCAACCGTTCAATTTACATTAAAAATTATTTATTTTACATATTTTTTAATTTTTATTTAATTTTAATTAGATTTAACTGTCGAAAAATTGATCTCATCAGAGATAGTCTTTTTTTTTAATAAACTAGAAATTCCGGAAAAAAATAATTACAAAAAACAGCTAATCGTGAGCTTTAGTTAAAGCATGAATATTCTTAAGAACAAATTGTACTAAAAGTAATGATAAAAAAAAAAAAAAAAATAGTCAACGTAGATGTAGTTGTCATATCATGGTCCAACTGCTGCCTTCACATGTTAAATGTTATTATTTTGTGTTTTCCAAAGATTCATATTTGAATTGAATTGAATATTCTAAAAGAAAGAAAAAAAAATTGGCGAAAAAAGGCTAAATCATTAGAGAATACTTTTTTTAAGAACAATTTCAGAGGAAGTTGAAAAAAGGAAATTGAAGTGGAATATATCCGAATATTCTTCATATCCATTTTGATTTACAATCTATCGTAAATAGAAAAACGACATGAAATTATGCTGCGCGAATTCCACTTTGATTTTTACTGGGAAAAAAATATGATTGTCCTAAAAGGAAAAACGACATGAACATTCTAAACTAATTCCACTTTGTTTTTTACTCGAAAATAATATGATAATTTCTTGGGGGAAAAATTTGGAAAAGTATGAGAATTTGGAAAGTAATTCACACCAATTGAAAAATATTCCAAAAAAATATTAATTTTAAATGAAAAATATTAATCACATCACCGTCATGTCATCCACTCCATTCTCCAATTTCGGTTTCAATGACTTGGCCTCGTTCCCTGAGTTTCTGCTTATATATTATACAAACCAAGACTCTAAATGAAAAGAAAAAAAAAGAAAAAAAAAACTTTTTTTTCTCTCTCAGATAAACAATCTGTGGCATCTAGAAAACACGCTTATATATATGACTCAAAAATATCCCTGTTTCAGTTTGTTTTGAAGAGTTGAGAATCTTTTTGCCATAAAAATCTTATACATTTCAGCTTTTTTGCGTCTATTGTTCTCTCTCAAGCTTGGAAATCGCCGGTGAAGACTATTCCAAGGTCAGTTTTTTGACTTCATGGCTGTGAAATCTCTGAATTTATGGAAACCCCATTTTCTTAATTTAGTGGGAAAGAAGAGATTTTTGGTCTGATTTTGGAGAAAAATATATTTTTGGTTTGATTTTGGAGAACCTATTTGCTTAGTTCAGGAGGAAAAGGTGTAAAATCTCTGCAATCTAAGAAGCCCGTTTGAAAAAATTTGTTTCTTTTGGTCATTATTTGAGTTATTTTTTTGTTTGAATATTAATTTGCATGTCAAGGGTGATGGAGATTGATAAAGCAATCAGAGAAAGTGATGATCGATGGCTGAAAACAAAGTACAATAGAGCCATCTATGTTATTCAGAGAGCTCTGGCTCTTTACTCGTAAGTTTTTTTTCTTTTTCTTTTTAATTTTTTTATTCTGCCATTGCTGTTTTAGCTTTCTTAGTTTTGAGTTTATGGATATTGAGTTTTTATTTATCAGGGGTTTGGAATTTAGCTTCAGTTTAATTGTGTATAAATCTGGCATTAAGGAAAGGATATGAAAGTTAGAAATTAAATACTTTGGGGTCTCTTTTTGAAGAAAAATGTATAAACGCGTTTGGGCGGAGTCCAATTATAATACTATTTCAAGATGAGTGGAGAGCTTCCGCTTTCTGAGGCTTCATGCAATGGACTTTTGGAGGCTGTTTCTTTTTCTTTGACTTTCTCACATTGTCTTATAAATAATAAGTCAACGAAGATAAAATTGACGCGTCAATTTCTGCTATGTCAAAACGTTTGCTTTCCTGTTATTGTTGCTTCAACAATCAATGAAGTTTTTAATGGAATTATGCCCCATTTCAACTATGCGATATGTTTAACTTTGTATCAAGAAATGATATTGAGGTGGTTGTATTTTAACCAAAAGCATAACGATTTTTTTTTTTAAATGTTTTTACTTGTATAAGATATAGATGGAATGTCTAGATAAGGAAGTGCGAAAGAGTTCTTTTGATTGTCCTTATTCGGATCTACGTGGACTCGTGGACGTGTGCTATTGGACAATGCTTTGATCATACCTTGTTTATACTTGTCGATTGTTGGGATATGGTTAAGATTCTCTACATGTCCTTGCTCGGTGTCACTTAGCGTTTTGGTCAATCAGGCGAGAACACGTTGCAATAACGTTTCATGCGTGGCTGGGAACTTTGATTCTTGTAAATAGATGGCCTCCTTTTTCAGATTATAATCTCTTACATGCCAAATGGATTACATTTATCCAAACAGTTTAGGAGCTCAAAAAACTCATAAAACACGTCCATATTAATGACCATGTATATCTTGATGCCATGGGAGAAATTGGCAAGTTTTCCCAATATTGTTTTATTCTGCAGTTTCCTACAAGACTGTGCATTACTTAAAGCATCATTAGTATTTAATGCTCATTGGAACATAGTACTTGTGAAAGAAAGGAAAACTGGGAATGTTCTGCATAAGTTATGGACATTATTAATTTCTAAATATTGTCTTCCCTTTAATGTTCCTATTTATCCATAGGAAGTGATTAGTACTCTGAGTCCACGGGGAACTTGCAGTTCCTAATAATTTGGGTCTTTTGATCAAACAGGATCGAAGAAGTTGCCTTTAGCTTTAATGGCGGAAAGGATTCTACAGTAAGTTTTGATATGGTTTCTTTGTGATCTATACCTTTTCTTTTATCTTATTGATACTCACAGCGACAATAACTTGTATGGTAGGTTCTGCTGCACCTACTTAGGGCTGGCTACTTTTTGCATAAAAGGGAGCAGAATTGTGCCAGTGAGGATCCAAAGGATTTCCCTATCCGAACAATATATTTTGAGAGCCCATCTGCATTTCCTGAAATCAACTCTTTTACTTACGATGCTGCTGCTAAGTTTGTATTACTTCCCTGTCTTTAAGTGCCTTTAAATGTTGGGAGAATTTTTGTTTAGGCAAGCTGATAAGCATTTTGGTATGTCCTTATTTATGCAGCTATGGTATGCAAATGGATATAATTCGGTCAGATTTCAAATCTGGTTTGGAGGCTTTATTGAAGTCTAAACCAATCCGTGCCATTTTCCTTGGCGTCCGAATGGGTGATCCTACAGCGGTATTTTGATAATATATCTCTAGAAAACGTAACCACATCCTGCTGTTATCTTTTGGATTTCCATTACAACGCCTTACCTTCTGTATATCTCTTTTAATCTTTTAGGTAGGCCAAGAACAGTTCTCCCCTAGTTCGGTAGGATGGCCTCCTTTCATGAGAGTGAATCCTATCTTGGATTGGTCGTACAGGTTTGTCCTTGTAGCTCATACTGCCTCCTCTAGCTTCTTCCTCTTGAGAAAATAACGTGAATTATATAGGACAGATTGCTCCTTATTTTTTGCTACTTAGTTACTAGGGTTCAGACCACCTCACGGGCACCTACATGACAAATGTCGTAGTTTCTTGACTTTCAAAGTTAAACTTGGGCTCACAAAGTGAGCTCAGAGGATTTTTGTATGAATAGCGTAAATATTATGGAATATGTATAGAAGGTTTTCATGCCATACAGACATCAATTGTCACTTGGTATTTATTATATTTCATTCTTTGCTCGTATCTTTGAAAGTTCATTCAAGAATTTTGACTTTGTTTTCTTTGGCAGAGATGTTTGGGCATTTCTCTTAACATGCAAGGTCAAATACTGCAGTCTTTATGATCAAGGGTAATGCTACTTTTGTTGCGACCTTATCTGTTGGAATTCTACCAATTTGTCTAATCAGATTCAGTCAGATAATTTTTTTTTTGTTTTTTTTGTTTTCATCTTCGCAGTTACACATCTATTGGGAGCATTCATGACACAGTTCCTAACGCATTGTTGTGCAATAGTAATTCCTCGAGCAGTGAAGAAAAATTTAGACCGGCGTATTTACTCTCTGATGGAAGATTAGAGAGAGCTGGTAGAATAAACAAATTTTCTTCTTCAGTTTGTGGGAAATCACCTGCCCTTAGCAATGGCCTAATCGCTGGGGATTTGCATAAAAATAGGTTGCTCACAGCTTCAGTCATCGCTGTGGGGGATGAGATCCTGTACGTCCCTTTTCTACACGCATTTTGTCGTTATTTGATGTCCATGACTACTATTAAGAGTCGAGAAATGTTCAAAGTCATCACCTTCTTATTTTCATCTCGCCGAAGTTTCTGATATTCTATCTGTCTGTTCCATAGCTCAGGCTCTGCACTGTTGAGGATCAATTGGGGCCTTCACTGTGTAAGAAGCTCCATTCTATTGGTTGGTCGGTATCACAAACTACTGGTGTCCAGAATGATGTGAGTATATCTCTACGGAGAACTACTAATCTTTATTTTGACATGTAATTTTGCCTAGGAGCTACGTGTTTCATTCAGTAAGCTTCATTTTTTTCAAAAATAATTTTGTTCCCAATGCGTGCATTTTCTACCAGGTAGATTCGGTGGCTGAAGTAGTTGAAAGGAGAAGCTCAGCTAGTGATTTGGTAAATTCTTTAGACGATCTTTTGAGTGCCTTTCTGGTTGTGTTCTTGGCACCAAGGGGGATGAGGGTTGAAATTTTGATTCTAGAAATGATCTGTACTTGACTGATTTATAGGTATTTATATATGGAGGGATAGGCCCACTTCATTCGGATGTTACTTTGGCTGGTGTCGCAAAGGCTTTTGCCGTTCGTCTGGTGCGAAATTTCCTTCTAGTCAACATTTTTCTTTTAATATTTTCTTTTTCTTTTTCTTTTTTGATACAATGAATTGATCTTTTTATTAATTGTCAATATTCAAGAAATAAAACGTAAATTAGTCAAGTATCTACAAACTTCAATTACTATTGAACAGTTTTAATTGGCATGAGACTTTTGATGCTGTACTATATATAGCAGTGATAGCATTTCTTGCACTAATTAAACTTTATTTGGTCTGTTATCCATACTTCAGGCTCCTGATGAAGAATTTGAAGAATATCTGAGGCAGGTCGTAGGTGATTACTGCCCTGGCGATCGTAACGAGGTATTTCATGCGATAAATTAGAGACACTTGAACTTTTAAGTTCTGTATTGCCATGATGACCATGTTATAAAAGCAGTGTTCTTATCTTTCATTTTTTATGTTTTGTCACGATACACAAGTAATTTTGGTATCCTTCACCAGGGTCATGAAAGTCAGAATTTGACCTCCAATTTTCTGTTTTCCCTTTTCCAGATGGCCCTATTACCTGAAGGTATTACCGAATTGTTGCATCATGAAAACCTGCCTGTGCCATTGGTACGTGTTAGAAGCTTAAATGTGATGCTTAATATCTCAAATATTGTCATCTAAAAAATTTTTTTTTATCAACCCATAAACTTTGTTTGACAGTTATTATACATCTGTTGTATTAAGTAAAGCTAATTTAGACAAATTAGTCTGATGATTGTTTCTTGTAGATCAAGTGTAAAAATGTGATTGTCCTCGCTGCAACAAATTATACCGAGCTGCAAACACAATGGGACTGTCTTATCGAACTATCGAGATCCAGTGGTGTGTTAGCGGTGATGAAACCGTATGTTTTGAGGAGCTTGACAACAAGTCTTTCTGATGTACGTGTTAAATTACCAATTTCAATTCGAACTTTGGATTAATTAACTGCATAAAGCCGTTCTGTCTCACAGCTTAATGTGCTCAATGTACATAAAAACTGCAGGTGGCAACTGCTAAACCGATTTCAAAACTTTGCCTTGAATTTCCAGACCTTCACATCAGTAAGTTATCATGAACATTGTAGATCTTCATGACTATGGATTTATTTATGGATGATATTTTCGATATCCTTTCTAACTCGGAAAAATGTTCTCCATGAAATTGTTTAGGTTGTTATCGCGAATCTCTTTATGGACCTCTTGTAGTTAGTTTCAGAGGCAGGGTAAGGCAGCATCCAAAAAAAAAAAAAAAAAAAGTTCCCATTAAATTTTACGGTTCAGTTATGTGTTTTCCAGATAAAACATTGCAATTTCGGTTGCAGGACCAAGCGCGGATTGAATTGGCCGCGGAAGCATTGCGCAAGAAATTCGAACCTGGAGCATTCGCTGAAATTAATTCAAGTTGATAATTCTAGCTTCCAATGGAACTGTTGGCTTCTAAGTTTCGTTTCATTTTCACACCCCAAAAGTTGTTTGGTTCATTCTCATGAAGTATATTCCTCTCAAACATGAATTTGGGGTGAGAGGTGAGAAAGATCATTGCAAATGAAAAGTGGGAAGAGAGAAAAAGAAAGATGGAAGAACAAAAACATGCAAAACTAGAATGCTTCATGACTGGGCAAAAGCCCTTGAGAAAAAAGGAAGGATAGCATTTAACAGCAACACCTTTGTCATGATGCACAAGCACACAAAAGACTTGTTTTTTCTTTTTCTGGACTATTTTTTTGAAATAAAATCAATTTAATACTCTGTTATAATAAAACATGTTCTTAATATCTTGTGTTTTTAATAATATCAAAATAATACCTTAATATCTTGTGTTTTTAATAATATTAAAATAATATTTTAATGTTTTAGCAAATTTTCTTTTGGTACCTTCAAGCTAATTTTTAGGACAAAATATCCTTTATACCCTTTTAGTTATTTTGTTCTAGATTTAATGATTAATTTCTTAAAAAAGATTATTAATTTTAAAAAATACAAAACAATAACAAAACCCATCATTAAGAACGAAATCAAAATCTACCGCAATCAAAACCAACTAACCAAAGATAAAACAAAAACCTGATCCGTTCTTAATTCTTATGCCAGAATCAAATGTTAGATTTTTTTTTTACTTTATAGAATCAAATGTTAGATTGAAACCAAACATGTGCTTCTTGCTATTAGAATCAAATTAACCCTTTTTGCAATTAATAAAAAAAAAAAAAAAAAAACCAGAACTTTGCTTTAAACCGTTGAAGAACTTGATGGCAATCTGCCAGTCAATTGGAATCAGTGATGGTTCTACAAAAAAAAAAAAAAAGAAAAAAAAAACTATAATCAATCCATCCATTGCCATTGCTGGTCCACTTGATCTTCTAGAAAATATATATACATATATATATAGAAATTCTCTTTAATCTCTTACTCGGATTGAAATGATACTTGTTGATTTTTCTATAAAATATGTATATATTTTTTTTAAACGTGTATATTTTTAAAAAATATATATATTATATTTTATCATTAAAAAATAAAAAAATATATACACATTTAAAAAAAAATATACATCTTTTATAGGGAAATGAACAAATGCTTGTACCGGAGACTTTGCCCATGAAAAAAAAAAAAACACCCCACAAATAACTCTAAACACAGTCTCCATAGGTCTTGAAATGTTTCTAAAATATGCAACTAAGCAGTCCCTGGACCAATCTCCATGGATCTCCGAGACCAAGCTTCGTGGGTCTCCGAGACCAATCGCCGAAGCTCGTAGAAGCTGATCTCCCCGGAGACCCACCGTTGTTAGGTTGCGAGCATGAGTAGCGCGATCCCCCATTTTCGCCGGCGAAGTAGGGGGCCGTAGGACTTGGGCACTAAGGGTGGGGATGGGGATTGGGGGTGGGGGGGGAGGAATCTGGGCAGTG